CACACACACACAAACACGCACACGCACACACACACACACACACACACACACACACACACACACACACACACACACACACACACACACACACACACTCACTCACACACACACTCACACACGCACACACTCACACACAAACACTAAGAAACTACTGTACAGGCCAAAACACACACACCAAATACCAGGCCCTCACTGTTTGACAAGAAGCTTCAATATTATCTAGCCGATTCTCTATGAACATCTGCACCACTATTGGGTTACAGGCAACATAATCAGCTCCTTTAGAAATGACTGAATAAGTAAATTATCCCGTAGTGGAAAGTAATGGCAGTACCAATGATTGCCAGGAACGTCCTTGAAGTTTTCATTGTGAAAAGATGCTGAGAAAGGCTTTTTCTGAAGCTGACAAGCCCCGCTCTCCGCTTTCTCTTTCCCCGCTGAAATACAATGCTCATGGAGGAGAGCAGAGGCGAGCTATTCTCCTGGATTGTTCAACATACACACACACACACACACACACACACACACACACACACACACACACACACACACACACACACACACACACACACACTTGTATGTTCTCACACCAAAAGCCTGTCACTTGCACATCTTTAAGAAATCACTCGTCCCCCAGTTGAATAAACACTTTCTGGGGCCTTGGTCAAATAATTATGGTAACAATATACAGCGCCCAGCGATGACAGGAATAATATCGGCTCTGTTCATCAACAAGGTAATTTGTGAGTTCTTGCCGACTGGAGGTAAAAAGAATATGCTGACATGCAGTAATGGTTATTATGGTCAAATGGTAATGATATTTTGACAGCAGCTATCTGTAATGCTGGGGCTCCCATGAGCTTCGAGAGGGTTGTGAAATAATGAAGCAATACATTTAAAAGTCAAATTGTCCAAGCAGCAGAATGAAGATAGTTTGACAGAATTACTTACCACCTCGAGGCAGTCCACTATTTTGCTTAGCTTGTCTTCTGGTAGATTAGTCAAGAGTGAAACACTGACAGAAAGGACAAAACACAGGTAATGAGCATTAATTTCTGTATGTAATAAAACAAATCAACATACACAAGATGCCAGGAACCATCAAGTAATGCACAAGGAAAAAAAAGAAACATGATCTAAATTCAATCTAATATACTGTATTTGTTGAGTTTTCAATTTTTTAAGGTTAGTCATATCAACAATTTTTTCATACTTGGACCCCTAAAAAGAGTTATATTCCTCAATGTTTTCTCAATCATATATCTGCTGTCCAACTCTGCAGCTCTTTGCAGCTTTTAACTTATTTTAGACCCTGGTTTTTGAGAAGAAAACTCAGTGTAGACAGGCCTTCACTAGTCACCTGAATTAACGGAGTTCGCAGTGTAGAAAGTTGAACATCCAGGCAAAAAGTAATATATTGTGCACAGGAACACAAGACTAACCACTGGCAAAAAAAAGTAAAGTAAATATTCGACTGATTAAATGTATGCAAACAAACAAGACAACTAAATGTTATTTCTTAAGAATGAGGAATTTGATCTTGACTATTAAACTATAGTTTGTATGATAAACTGATCAAGGGACTTGTCGAGTAACCAAACCAAACTAGTAATTTGCTTGACGTTGGTAGACATTTTGTACTCTAAACATCCAGTCGTTTGATGTTTGATGTTATGTTTGGATTTTTAGCTGGTATTTTTCTACAATGTCATTTTTACTTACTCATTACTTTCATTAGAACATGTTTTGTGTGTGTTATTGGTTACAAGAACTATACGAGTGATGGGACGCTAGCAGTTTTGCTACAGCTTGGGACAAACCTTCGGAGGAAGTTGCGGTACTGTTCATGCCGCGTCTCAGCCGTTCTCCTCATGATGTTCTGAAACACCTCCCGGTCCAGAACCCACACCTTCACTTTGTTCACCGCTGTAAAAGCAACAAAACATGAGACCTGAGACATGGTCCAGGTTCTGACCCCACAGCCAAAAACCTGTGCCCCTGATTACTAAGTGCAGTGCCACGGCTAGCTTCAGAGGGTCTAGAAAAAGAACCAATTATTTCCTCTCCCTTATCTTTCATAGTATTTTAATTTAGTTTAATCAAAGCCCTCTATCACTACGTATAAATTACATATTGTTTTATTTTGTCACAAGGACAAAGGAGAGGAGAAAAACACTGTAATCTGTCTTGCATCTTGGTGGTGAGTCACTCCAAATCTACAGAAACTCTGAGACAGGCTTTTGTTGGTCCAAGGAAGAAGTAGCTGTGAAAGATTAACATGAACCGGTAGCAAAGAAAGGGTTCCCCTTTGTCCCACTCAAAGAGTTTTTCCAGAGAGTTTTTCCAGTTTTACCCCGAATATTGAGGTCAAATAAGTGTCCCTACCCTAAGGGCCGCAAGTCAATTACTTGTTTAAATATACAAACCCAGACAAAGAGCACTCACATGCTACATGGTATGTGCTTTACAAATTCCAAGGAGTTGAAAACCAATCAGAATGCAAAGCTGTGGATATCATGGAAAGCCTTTGTCAACACAACCAATGCAAAAGCTTGTTTACTCGGGTCTAATGACTTATCTGATTCTACTTCCATCACTATCAGGTGATCCATTCAAGAAGTCACTGCGACTCAGATAAAGTGTCAGATTACATTCAGAAGTCAGGATTGGATTGGGAAGATACAAGAGAATTAGATGCTAAATGGTACAGGACATAATGGAAAACAAATTATTGTTGAATACTGTGGCTGGTATAATAAAACAGGTATTTCATAATCTAAACATTGCAACCCATATTCATATTCATGAAAATGCATTGTGTGTCATAGAATCAAAATATATATTTTTTTTTAATGTAGCTAACCTTAGCATAAAAGAAAAATAAATTGAAAGATGTTTTGGTTTTTTTGCTTATGTTGGGGTTCTTGGCAGTCTTCTTCTCCAAATAAAGATATGTTGTATTAGAATGCATAGTTGACATGATCTTTACCATATCATTTTAAACATTTGCGGCCCAAACCTGGAGGGTCTGGAGGCGTCCTCCCTAAGTTTGATTTTGTTCCCATATACGGCAGCTTTTTGCAAAAAGTGTTCAAGGCACTTAATAATACCATTACCATCACCTTGGCTATCATTTGGGGAAAGCATGAAGGTTGCAAGAAAATTGTGCTGTTGTTATCCAGCTGTCCATCCGTTCATCATTTCAAAACCTCAACACAGCAAATGTTGGGCATATCTCTTTTTCAGTCCTGCCAAAGAGGCAACCTTTGTTTAATCTTACTATTTTCAAATGACAAACTATAGGAATAAGCATTTGGTGTGAACAGCGTTACTTATCTTGAAACACATTTTTACATGTTAAGTTGACAAATATACATTTCAATTATACTGGGCTGCTCTTATTTTTAAATCAAGGATCCCCAACAATGCAAAATAAATGTGGAATTAAATGTTTAGGCCAAAAGAAGCACATTTACTATTATTATTATTATTATTATTATTTATATTAGATACGGATATCATAATATTTAGCATAATAGCTCATCTGAAGAATGGCAACACAATACAATACAAAATGTTGAAGTACAATCTAATCAGGAGAACTACAAATCGTTACCTCGCACTGATGCTGTCCGTGTGCTGTTGTACAGAATGGCTAGTTCTCCAAAAGTGGTCCACACCGCTATCGATGTGAGCAGCTTGTTGTGCTGAAACACATCCAGCTTCCCATCTGTAAACATAAAATACAGACAATCAGTTGTATTTAAACACATATTAAGAACATACACATGCTACAGGCAGAACCAATGCCATTAAACTTAAAATTAAATGTTAAATATAATATATATTAAATTCAAAATGTATATGTTTTTTTAATGACATGGTACTCAATGAAAAATCAATAACATTTTGTAAAACAAAAAAACGACAACATTTTTACGAATTTCCATGCACCTTTATTCCTGAATTACCAATCTTTTTTTCAGTTTTCTGTTTATAATGCCCTCTGTTCAACTTCAGTAGGCTATATGAAATCTTGAATGAATACTTCAGCCTTTTACTGAATCAGCTGATTCCTGCCTGCTGTTTAAAAAACTCTATTTTGCTGGGGTAAGTATTAAATACTTATTTGAAAGTAGGCCTACTGAAAACTTAATTTGCAACCATGACCTGATTGCGTCACAGTTGAGTGAGTTACACGTCCTTGTCCAGGGGGAGACATCTCTTTAAAAACAGAACAGCATAACAAACGGGACATCTTGGGCCTTTCTTATTTCTCTAATTTCCCCTCCTCGACTCCTCGACTCCTCGACTCCTCGAATCCTCGGTCATCCCGTTGTGACCCGGAAATGGTTTTCGGCGCGCCATGTTGAAGGACATCTCATTTCTCTAAATGCACATAAAATAATCGAGGATACATTGATAGTCTTTCTAGTTGCGTATTTTTCATAGTCTTATATTTCAACAGTTTTACGACAAACTGTGACTTTTATGACATGGAAATTATTTTTTAAGATTGACAAACACTATGTGTAATTCGTGGCACAACTCAAACAGGATCGAAAGATACGTTTTTTCTCGCCATTGACTTCAATACATAATTTTTCCGAAATAAGGTCCCATGAGGTCCACCGGAAAGGGAGCGACTTTGCCTCTCTATAGACAGATGTATCGGGGGCGTGTACATTGAGGACCCATTGTTGAATTACCAGGAAATAAACATTTTGATCGCCTCGTCTGTCGTTCACATTCATATCTCCATAGGATCACTTTGATGCACATTCAGTACTCGTATGTGAGGTTGTGGGTGAGATGTCAATATCGTGACGCTTATGCAGCGTCCACACGGCGGCGTGCGTTGAAGCTTGCCAGCGGGCGTGTCTGAAGCTCGACCAACAACCAATCACATGAATCTCCCGCCCCGGACACACAAGCACACAGTTTGATTGGCTAGAGCTTGTAATGGCATATGATTTGATTGGCTGACGCTTCCCTCGAAGCTTCAAAAGTTGAACATTGCTCAATTTTTGAAGCTTGAAAGCGAAGCAACGCGAGCAAAGCAAAGCGACTCTCCCACAATGCAGTTCGGCAAAGTGTGACGTCACCCCATTCAAAGTGAATGGGTTGAAGCGTTGAAGCTTCAACGCACGCCGCCGTGTGGGCGGGCCGTTACAAGGAGGTATCGAAAACTACAAAGTAGGTGACTGTGGATGCCTGTTCAAAACATTGCAAACATGAATAAATCATTTAAATTATATATTTGGGTCCGACTTTCATTTTTACATCGTTCTTAATGTGATAGTAGCTTTGATAGCTGTCTATACCTTCAGACAGCCTAAAAGTAAAACTCAAGTTGTTTATTCACAGCCCGAAAGCAGTATCGAGATGACTGGATCATCTGTGACAAGTTGTGATCAGCTCCGATTAAATTGTGATATAAGTTCTGTAGCTATTCTCCAGCAAGCGAGTTTTTTTTATTAAATACCAGTATCCCTCTCATCACAACAAGACTCTACACTGTGCAGGAAAACAAATTACATGCATGAAAATAACCTTGATGCATAGCTTTGAATGAAACAAACAAACTATCTTCCATGGCTAATACTGATATGTCACAGTAACGGTAAACCATAGAAAAGTAGGTCCAGCGGGGCACAAGTTGAATCCATACAATACAGTAGTTCTATTATGCCTTTAAGCCTATACGTTTAACCCATAAGAAGCCGGACCCATTTCTACTTTTGGGAAAATTAAGGGGAACGTCATTTAGACTAAATAGACCACCTAGAACACATTTCTGACAAGTAACCCCCCCTAGTGTCCCATATCTGAAATGTGACATATATGTCACATTGAGGGTAAAGTAACTCTTATTTATAACTTAATTAATGAGGATGATTTTTTGGTTTACATTTGTTTGAACATACTTTGAATTGAAGAATAAAGAATATATTAACTAAATATAATTTAATCAGCTAAATTAACTTGTTGTGATGAGAGGGATACAGGTATTTCATAAAAAACTTGCTCGCTGGAGAATAGCTACAGAACTTATATCACAATTTAATCGGAGCTGATCACAACTTGTCATCTCGATGCTGCTTTCGGGCTGTAAACAACTTGTGTTTGTGTGTCTGAAGGTCTGAAGGTATAGACAGCTATCAAAGCATTAACATTAAGACCGATGTGCAAATGAAAGTCGGACAGAAATATATAATTTAAATGATTTATTCAAGTTTGCAATGTTTTGAACAGGCATCCACACAGTCACCTACTTTGTCATTTTTTGATACCTCCCTGTAAGCGTCACTATATCGACATTTCACCCACAACCTCACATTTGAGTACTGAATGTGCATCAAAGTGATCTTAGGAAGGCAGATATAGCAAAAGATGAATGTAAACGACAGACGAGGCGATCGAAATGTTTATTTCCTGGTAAGTCAACAATGGGTCCTCAACGTACACACCTCCGATACATCTGTCTAAAATAATAGAATGACGCCAGTTGTCATGACTCTAGTTAAACTAGACACCGGCAAGTGAAACCTAACTTTGACTCTTGTCATAATTCTCCCCTATTATCAGGTACGCACTATAGATAGTACAAAAACATAGCAAATTGGGCCAAACTATAACGTAACATGTGTAAAGAGGGTTTTAAAGCGGTTGTGTGAAATATTGAGTGTGTTATTATATGTTTTATCAGCTTGGGCTGATGTGTGTGATAGCCGAGAATGTGTGTAGTAACGTCTCCATGGTTACATGAACAAACACTGCGTAGCGCGCGCTTGCCGCCATCTTGTGTATTGTGTATGCACACAGTTATATGTAATATGTTGTCTTTAACTTTTAGTTAAATAATTATGTGAGGGTTTTACTATCTTGTCAATTATATTATCTTATCAATGATATTGTGGTAATTAAGGAGTGTCATGATTGAAATACAGTGTTAATAGACAAGTGTAGAGGTATGTACTATTGAAAGGTATTGCATTTGTTGACTCTCTCGAGTAAAGTACCGGCAAGTTAAACCTAACTTTGACTCTTGTCATAATTGTCCCCTTTTATCAGGGGCATAACATATGCAATACGTTAAGGGGTAGAACATCACTGCATAAGTCACAGCGGAGGCACACAATACTGATATGAACCTGTAAATGAGCATTATAGGGCCCCTTGACTGGATGATTACATTAAAATCGACTTTTTGTTCTTTCCTGTTAAGAGTTGATAAACCAGAGGAATTTGTACATCTACCAAGAATACTTTTCACAGGCCAAAATAATTATAATCTGCATTTTTCAAAGAATAACATTAGGCTAACCTCTCAGACTGACATAACGTTTTTGATGCAAAAGAAAGCTTGCTTGATGAAGGGCTGCTGTTCGCTTTGATTTGATTGGCTCGTGGTCAAAGAAGCTGAAAATATTTGAGAAAGAGCCAAGACCAAAAAAGTCATCTGAAAAAGCTACATGCCGTTGTGGCAGGTGACTTGGTTTTTCCTACCAAAATCGTTTTTTCTTTGTTAATTTCTGACACTCTAGCGCTGCAGTCAGCACTATTCCAACTCAATAATTGGCCACTTAAAATCTATTCAAATGTAAGATGATACACAAATTTGCAAGTATCAGCATAGGGAATAGACAAAAAAAATCCCTCAGTTTAAATCACAATTTTCTTCTTTCATTTTCAGGATTGTTAGTAACAGAAGGCCTGTTTTTGGGAATACGTGACAATTACACCAAATGTTGTATGCTGGTGTTTGATCAAATAAATGTAATTGAAGACAGAAAAAAGTCAATATTTGGCTATCAATTTACATCAGGTTGTACATTTTCAAATCTACTCTAATATTCTCGCCTCTTCCAGTTTGGATACAATTATTTTAGCAAAGAATCCAAACTCTACGGAAGCCGACAGGGGCAAACGCGCTTCAATGGCCCAAAACAATTCCATTTGGAAAATGCGCTCCAGTTTCCAAAACGATGCAAACATCTTGTCACACTTGACAACACATGCACAGCATTTAGATGTGCCAAGAGGATAGGGGCCCTAATCATTTTGCAGGACTTTCTACATGATGTGCTTGTTTTTCAATATTTTGTGGCAGATGAAGAGCCAACAGGTTTTAATTCATTTGATTACCACCCAGCAAGCAGAAAATGAACTCATCAGTAAAATCACCTGCTGAGGTTGTTGCTTCTTATTGGTCATTGCCTGTCAGCCACTGCAGGCCACGGACAGGAAAAGTGAAATACCTTATTTACTTCTAGCATTAGTAAACTAGTTTGGACGTACCTGCCAGAACAAACAGATGGTTCCCAGGCTCTCCCTGCTTGATGACGTACTCTCCCTGCTGGTAGGTGCGCTCGTACATACACTCCACCATGTCTTTGATCTGCTGCAGCTCCAGCCTCTTCAGGTACTGGTTCTTGTTCAGGGCGTCCGTCAGCACCCTCTTTACACTGTCACCGGCAACAACAGAGGAAGAGTTAGAAATGTGAGCTTTTACTGTGAAAATAAGTGGAGTTTTTTAATGTTGCTAAGGTCAGTTTCCTTTTGTTTTTAGATTTGTTGTTTTGCCTTTTTTTGTCCCTTAGGCAAGACCATAAACTGTATATAAGAATTGGATTTAGTCATTTTGTTGTCAGCCATTGATTTGTGGACCAAGGTTTTGAAGCCTTAACTTCAGACCATTTCAGGCAACCTAAACACCATTAACTTTGAATAACTGAAAACTCACTGTAAAGGGGTAAAGTTGTCAGATGAAAATCACAGACAACACACAAACCTGGCAAAACAATGAACGCTACCAATCACAAGGTAGCCACGTCCTAAACTATAACCTTCATTTATACAGTATTTGTATGGCAGTGTTAAACTGTGTGCTTTATATTCATAATATTTAGAGCAGAAGGGACACGGTTTGGGGTTTGACACATTTGTTAACCCTTTGAAGTTTTGTGTTATGAGTTTTGGGCAATTGAGCTATAACGAGTTTAAACGATTGGGAAAAAAACTGTAACTAAAGGACAGTTCTCTCACCACAGCAATGTGGTGTGTTCCTGGGCCCACTGAGCCACCAGGACACCCACATCCACATTACTCACACATTTTTAATCTGAGTGATAAATACTTCTAGTGTCTCCTGTGAAAAGATGACTACGACGATGAATCAAGTAAAACAGCGAAAACATAAAATCATCATGAGCTGTCAAAGTTCACCGCTTCGCATTTTAACAGCTGTAGTGAGAAAAAGACATCAGTTCCTTTGGGGAGTTGTAAAAGGAAAAGGTTAAGAGCCATGGTTGAATGTAAACTATAGATCATGAGACCGCGTCGCTGCTGGAGGTGGGTGGTCTGTTTATCCACCTTATCGTGTGTAATAAATTATCACTTTAGGCTTCATAAAAGCAGAGCAGATGACATCCAGTCCTTTGTTTTGTTTTTCAACCCACATCCTCCCCTCCCACCTGGCTGTGTCATTACTCTGCCAGAGTCAGCAACATGTTACATTATCATTCACAGAAGATGAGTCTTCTGTTTCAAAGGGCCAGTCTGCAGGAGGGTACCAGACCTGCCTCATTTACATTAGTTTTGGTCATATAATACATGCTGGGCTTATTAGCCACAAATGTTTTAAACATGAGGATCAGTTTGAGAGGGGTGGACTCTGCATACTCACATGTATTCACTGCAGAGCACTGTATTCGTGTTGTACAATATGAACAACACTGTGACAAAAGACCATCTGACTTTCATATCTGAAGATCGAAGAAGACTGCTCTCTGGAAATAACCTTTTGTGTTATTTTTTGTATTATTGTGATATTAACTGTATGTGCACTAAGGCTACATAGCGGGTTCATCAATTTAATCTGCTGATGTTGTCTAGTTTAAGATACAGTAGAACTAGTTAATCGATTGGCATATAAAATGTCAGGAAATAGTGAAACATGTCATACCTTTTGCTAAAAGTCAAAGTTGATGTCATTACATTTATTTTGCTGTCTGTCCAAGACTTTAAGATGTTAACTTTAATATGATATACCTATGATGGTCGACAGGTGCAAACGTACTAGAACGGTCCCAAACATTTCTGTTAGGTTCAAATTAAAAACACAAATGTGCCAAGCACATGCAGAAACATCTTCACCATTTAGAAAAACTCAACATCTGAAAAAACATGTGCAGCGTTTACCCAAAGTGCTGAATAAAGGAAACACAGCAGATACGAAAGCTGCAAGAAGCTCAAGACACAATGGACACTAAAAAGGGATGCACACTGGAGCGCTTGTTGGCGTTCTGGGATTACAAAATTGGCCAGCTGTCACTGTTGATGGAAAGTTATCTAAAATGAGTCATTTGGCTTTGAAATGACCATACTTAGAAACACCTTTACAGATTTGTGTTTAATAAATGCAATATTTTTTTTATCTATCTATCTAAATGGAAAAGGTTTACAAGCCACTAGGCGGTTTGACCTACACAAGCTTACTGTCTAATCTCTTCGTTCTTCAGAGTTCTTTCATTGTTTCAAAGCTTAGCTTCTCCAGTTATATACTTGCAACCATTATTGAGCATTTATCTTATCTAAATCATTCTTTATGTCGTTTATTGAGGCATGAAGCTTTGCAGTCCCCAGAGGCAGCATTTTGAGATCAACTTACTTCCTTAATTTGATATTCATCCTGTCGGGATGTAACATAGACAGCTGGAAAATCAATAAATAACAGCTGGGAGAAAGGTAATTGTTTTTTTTTAATGGGACGGGTAGAGCTCTTACATTTCTTTCGAATATCATGAGAGAAAACATTAAATGGTCAAAAGCGTTTTTACACCTACAGTTAACTCCTTTCTTTATAGTCCTGGCTTTTGTGCACAGAGGCATGGTCCCATTGTAACAGGAAATGGGAAAACACAAATTATGTTTTAATATATCACTTACACTGCATTAACTTTGCTTTTTTTTTACTTTATCACCTTACCCTTAAGAGCTCATCCATAAAGGGATTATCCACATACTTATGGCCAAATAGCCTAGAGCAGGTCTGAGTAAATTATTTACCACATGAAGAAATGCATTCATTCACCCAGACATGAAATTAAATAATAATGTTTGATTTGTGTCAGTCAGTTGTGGCACAGACCAGATGATGACCTTGGACTGAACATTGAATAGTTTTGTTTACAACACATTTCGACAACGTCATGTCTCGCCCACCTCCGTCTCCCACCCGCCCCTACTGCTTGCACCAGGCTGAGACGGAGCCTGAGGCCATCTTGAACCTTTCATTTCATTCTCCCTTTATGTGTGTTCAACCTTACTTAACAAAAACATCTCACCTCGCATCCTTTGATACCCGGGCCTTGTCGAAGGAGAACTTTGGCAGGCTGCTGGAGTCGTAGGTCCTTGATGTGGGTTCGGCCGACACCCCTGCTTTGGCCCCTTTCCTCCTATTGAGGGACTCCTTGATGCGAACACTGAGGTTGGGGCTCTTGTGGAAGGCTTTGATGGAGGGGGCCCTTGATGGCAGATGTGCCGGGGCCCCGCTCTGGTTCTTCATCACGTCCTGCAGCTTGTTGAGCTGGACGCTCTTGTTCTGCAGCTCCTCGTCCAGATCAGCCAGAGCTCGGCTCTCTTTGGCCAGCTGCTCATTGAGATGTTTGATCTGCTGCTCTCTGGAACAAAGCTCCTCATCCTTCCTCTTGCCCTCTCGCTCCAGCTCGTCCACTCGGGCCCTCAGGTTGTCCATTGACGAGTATTTGAACCCATGATCTTTGTAGCATCGGCTGTTGGACGAAGAAGTAGAGCCGTCCGCGTGTTTGTAACGCTTTGATTTCATTGAACCATTCCCCATCTTGTAATCAAAAGAAACAAAATAGATCAAAGTCAATATTAGCTGAAATGATTGAAAAGTCCTTCAAAGAGGAGTACAGTGACATTTAGCATGAAATGGTATTTTTGAGGAAGCTTGGGGTGAGGTTTCACACAAAAGAGCTGACGCTGTGAGGGAAAGAAAACCAGAGAAAGAGAGGAGAAACAGCAAATCAGTATATGACGATCAATGAGTGTCGTCTCTATTTATTATTCAAAGGCAGGAAGTATTACATTACATCAACAGTCCCTCCCACCACTCATATGCAGTGAGACAGAAGCTTGGGAAAAATAAAAACTTTGTAAGAAGATTTTATTTCCAATGTCTTTTCTATTGATTTTAATAAGTAATGAAAATGGATAAAGTATTTTTTTCTGAATTTCCCATGTCACTAAACATCCATTGGACCAAAAAAAACACACAGGCAAACCAGCTGACCAAAGATCTGTTGTAAATGTTTGATAAATAAAGTAAAAACTGAGAACATTCCTATAATACACAGTTTAATATTAACAAAAACGTTGTGAAATAATTGAAATAGAAAAATAATAAATACGATAGAAAATACTCAGAGATAACTGTTTGGTCAAAAATGTCAAGAAGGAGACCCACACTTTTTTAAATGTTCTCTCAGCTCCCCTAAGTTATCCATATGCTCTAGATTCATGCAGAATGTAATGTCTCTATACGCCATTGTGAGGTGTTATTACATTATTAAGTGATATTTAAAAGCATGCTTCTGTAATGAAAGCGGGGAAGAAATGTCAGAGAACAGTCCTGTTCTTGTCGTGTGGGACTGATGCCCACTCTCCCATACAGTACACTTCATTCAAAACATTCCTGCTGGGATACAGTGAGTGGACGTCAGATCAGCCTCTTCTCAAACAATGTTCTGAACACTATTGAAAATGAATGACATCATAAATAAACCTATAGAGAGGATTATCAGCAAATTCTCCCCTTTTTTAATCTAAACTCCTTTACTAGCACTAGATATTCAGTAACAGATTCTCTGACGTTTTAAGAATATTACCGGACTATTTTTGCGCACAGGTGATTAAGAATTAGTTGTGTTAAGTTAGAACCATCTCCAAGGAGGCTCTTGCACCTGCTCCTCGCGCTGCCTCGTCATTCTCCTCCTGAGATAAATGAGTCCGTGTTCAGTACAAAGATTATCGTTACTCACCTGAATCACTTTTCACCCTTCAGACGAGCCAGGGACAGGATTTAAAAGAAGAAATGCCGTGTTTGCACATTCGAGCATCCGCAGAGAGCACTGTTTGCGTCCTCTCTCTCTCTCTCTCTCTCTCTCTCTCTCTCTCTCTCTCTCTCTCTCTCTCTCTCTCTCTCTCTCTCTCTCTCTTGTCTCACGCTCTATTTCCTCCGAGGCAGTGCGCGTTCACGCGAGCGCGGCAACCGGTATGTTTGGCAGGTGTGAGCGATGTCGTCGCGATCTTTTAAATACCCATTTAAAATGTATAATTATAGAAAGGTCGACTGCATTTGTTAAAAGAAACTTTAATAATAACCACTTTTCATTTAACCAAGAATACGTATTTGTTAGTAGGAATAGCTGTTCTGTAGAAGATTGCAATAACAATGGCAATAACAATGAGTTATGGGGAGTTTATAACATTGGCCTACGTTAAATTATGCAACAAAATCAGCATTACACAAACATGTTATATATCACAAATGAAAAAAGTATTATTACATCCTAAAAACAAAACACAGGTCCCCTTAAAATAACCAATAGTTAGAAAAAATACATAATTGCATTGGTGAAGCATGCCAGACAAAACACAGCGGGTTGTTTAACATATAGGCTACACGTCATAATCTGAACAAAATAAGAAAAGCGTTACATTTGGACAGCATTACATGCGTGATTGGGGATAATATGGAGCAGAAATGTATGTGTGTGATGCGTTTGAGGTTTCTTATTAAGGATTAAAGATTTTGTATTTCTGTTTATAAAAAGGAAATCATAAAATGGACATCCAGGCAGTCTAGAATGTAAATAAATAAATTACTAACAGTTTAGCCAAAGTTGTTTTTTGCATTTGGTATCTAACAGGCATTACAGAGTCAGTTCACTCGTAATGATTGTTATCTCTGTGCTACTAGCCTCTGTGTTAGCCCTTAGCATTATCCTCCATAATGTAGCATCTGATTTCATTAGACTCTCTTGCAGTCATGTCAACATTTCTTAATATTCTACCCTCCGCGTTGCGTTTCTCAAATTATTTCAACTTTGACCTCGATTACCAATGACTATGACCAAGGGTGTAACTTTGGTTTGAGAAGTGGGGGGGACACAAAACAAGGGGTCCTCCGCAATGAAACATTGTTCTCTATTTAATTCCATTTCCTGCCTTTCTACAAATATATATTCGGGACTATGGTGTTAACTAATCCAAGAAAAATGTGTAGTGTAAATGAGTGTGCAAACTTATCTATCCATGAACCTGTTTTATTTGTGATTACCTCACATCCTATAGGGGGGTCCGGGGGCATGCACCCCCGGTAAGATTTGTTTCTTTAAATTGAAGTTAAAGCATCAATCTGGTGCACAAATTAAGAGATTTATGGATACAACTCTCAACACTCATATGAAACAGAACTGTATATATTTCAATACTCCAAAAACCATTAGAATATGCTCACAACCAATAACACATCCTTGATATACTCCTCTCTCCTATCTTTATCTTAGCTAGTCTGCATTCTTTTTTTTTATTTATGCATATTTTACTAATCACTTCCCATTCAAACTGTGCTTTTTTTTTTTTACTGACATTGGAATTATTTTTCTAACTTATTTTGAACAACTATATTAAATAGATGGAAATATTAGTTTAGAGCAAACCGTTTGAGACCCACTGAGATAACTAAAGTTTACAATCACTCAGCGAGTCCTTTACCTCCCTGAGCTGACGTTATCTCAGCCTCTCAGTCCGACAGGAGAGGACTCTCCCTCTCCTTATTGTTGAAAAAGCTTCTAATCTCCGTTAGCTCCGAGCTAGCACCAGATACTAACAACAACCCCTGTAACTCTCTCTGTCTCTCTCTCTCTCTCTGTCTCTCTCTCTCACACAAACTGCGCTCCTGCCACACACACAAACAGACGCTCCTCCGTGATGATGACCACTTGCGTAAAAAAAAAAACACATTTGAAAAGTGGGGGGGACACAAACTTGATTTTGAAAAGTGGGAGGGACATGTCCCCCCTGTCCCCAGTGGAAATTACGCCCATGACTATGACTATGACTATTTTGAGTCCAATAGCAGGAGAACTATCCCTCCAAATTAAACATATTAGCTGTTTTTAATACATCTCCAAACGATATTTCCCTTCATCCATTTTAGCCTCTTTAAGCTCTGGTGCTTTCTTCACCAGCTAGTTGTTTACTTGTCAGTCTGCTATTTGGTACTGGGCAAGTATAAATTAGTTTGTTCAAATATGTTAACTAAAAACATCTGCCATGCTGCTGCTGGAAAAAGCGGGAAAACTGATGTGAACCATGGGTGGATTACGAGACAATGGGCCCCTGGTGACAGACTTGCAAAAAGCCCAACCACATGTTATCCATAAGAGCAAGAAACAGACTTTACAGTTGGTTTGCCTGTTTCTGTGGTTGTATTTTCACATATTTAAAGTACATTTACATTTCTTTTGTAGTTGTTCTGTCTCCTTGTGTGGTCTTTTCTGTGTCTTCTATCTATCAAACTGAGTCTCTTCCTGGTTGTTACCTGCCTCTTTGGATTACATTTTGTAATCAGTTTAGGCCTGTTCAGTCATCCATCCATGGCCTTTTCATTTTCAGGTCAGAAAGTTAAAAAAAACAATGAGCTAGTTGCACTGGAGAGCTAGGAGGGGTGCCTTGAGTTTGCTGATAAAATACTGTCACTGCTCAAATCGTACTTATTATTATTATAATAATAATAATAAGTGTAATGTCTTTTAAACTGATTATCTTCCTCACTTGAGCTCAACGTTGTATGCATTTGACTTGTTCGGACAATGTCTGTCCCAAAGATGCTGTCTTTTTCACTCAGAAATGATTAATTGGTTTTCCCAGTGCGTATGTCTGAGGCAGCCAGGCCTGCAGCAGGTTTTATTGACGGGCACAGAACAATAATGGCAGGTGGCCAATGCTGATTCATCTGCAGCACTCACAGCACAACAAAGTAATAATCCAGGTCACTGACTCCCAACCTGAATCTGAGCGCAATCGGAGATCCTGGCAAATGATCTGAGGACATCCTCTGAATGAGCAAACATGTTCACACTCGCAGAGTATGCTGAAAGCCAACAGAGTCATCTTTTAGCAGACTCTGTTGTACATTCTCCCAGTGGTGGGTAAGGCTGCAGCAACTTGCTCAGGGGCACTTTGAGACAGGGTGCAGCCAAATCAGCCAATTATTCCGATATGAACATGTGCTTGTCAGCTTTTAACCCTGTAGTTGGTCCTGCCTTTGTGTTGCATAATATCCTTGTGTTTACCTGGTTTTCTTTTTATTGTTGTTTTTAGCATTTAACCATCCCACAATGCTGGCTTGCTGACAGGATGTTCCAGTAGATGGTTAGTTAAAGCTTAAGACAGGATGTTCCAGTAGATGGTTAGTTATAGTTTAAGACATTCTTTATTAAAGTCAATTATTACACTTATGTTATTTACAAAAAATCACACACCAAGGCCCAAATACAAACATACACAAACAGGACCTGTACACATGCATTAGTGAAGGGGTTTTAGAGCAGGGGAGTTGCAGGGTTTGCTGCATTGCTTATCAAGAGGCGATCTGGAACCTCTCCAGTCCACTGTTCTTGGTCCTGCAACCATTTGGTTTCCAGCCAGATTGAGCTACTGCCGGCCCCATGTTCAGTCCCAGGGTAATATATGGAACCCAAATCATGTGTGATTAATAGTGAGATGTTGATGCCTGGTAATGTATTTTGGAAATACTTACAATTGTTCATATTGCAGTCTGCTTTTCCATAGATTTCCATCTCCAGTTGCCACTGTGTTATTGCTGTAGCTGCATTTTTCTGTATGTGAAATGCCTGTTTTGTTGCGGTGCAGCTCAGTGGTTCATGCGATGTTAGGCTCATCAAAGTCTTTCGCTTGGTTGGGAACCACTTGTGATTTGCGGTGTTTAGCAGGCTAATAGTTATTTTTACCATACTAAAGTAGTGCATGTGGTATATTAACTTGTGTATCTTGCAACAGAAGAATAATAAGGATTATTTGTTCATTGATGTATCATTTTATATTAGTTTTTAAACCATGAAGACTTGGATAGTAATAGGCAACATTTTGGATTATTAACGATTTACCTTTTTCTTCATTTCACGACTGACCTGACTGTAGATGCCTGTAATTCGACGGATGCTAGGACTGTCACTCAAAGATAGTTGTAGTAATTAGGGACCGAGCACCGACAGAGTCTTAGCGAAGGGCCTATTGAAATTGCTAGGATTATTATTAGAGCCCAGGCACCTATAGAGTCGGAGCGGAGGACCTATTGTAATCTGTCAGGTTTTTATTATTATTTTTCCTAATAGTAAATCTCTATTTTGAAGTCCTAAACGTTTAAAAAAATGTGGTCTGGTCAGGTCTGTTGAAAAATATGATATTTTGGAGGTCGCGTTCTCAGGGCGTCTATTAAAATATCTACAGCACCCGATACAAAGTCGCTCAGGTTTAACCTAAACATTTGAAATTTCGTAGGCATATGCAGCAACTTGAGACACACAAAAATGCCTATCGGAGTCATATAATTAACCAAATAGGAAGTCTGCCACTTGTATCCAATTTACATGACAATTACAATGTGTGGTCTACACGTGATAAAGTGAAACATACTGTTTTTTAAGCGTGGGTTACCAGTTGACACATGTGTAGTTGATTTGATGGCACACACAATGGTAAAGGAAAGCGTTTGCAAAAATATTTTTGGTTCAAATGCAAAAAATGCAGTTATCAAAGAAGCTCAAATTGTACAGTTCTTATGGGATATGTTGCTTTATAATGCATCACACTTCTTGCAATACGTGATGTTTATTCATGCGGTTGGTCTCCAGCGGTCATGGCATTTCACTGCTGCATCAACTCCCATCCGAGAAGTACCCCGACGTGCATGGTCCGTTAAAGTTGTACCTAGTAAGTAAGCTTGTTATTACTATACATATATGGAGCTTAATGACAGGTATTTATTCCAGGAAAATATAAATGTTGAATGCCATGAAGACACTATTTGCCATTCTGCCTCCAAGATCACAGATTATCACATTAGAAAAATAGGGCTCATGCCACGTGTAACTTTTA